CTTCAACAAAATAAAATATTTCATATCAGTGAACCGATAAATCCGTCAGATCAAACTGTCCCTGGGCTAAATGAAAAATATTCATCTTTGAGGTATTAAACTGTTTTGTTGGACGGACAGAGTGTGAACGAGGAACACGTGCAGCAAAGTGTTTGGTCGGAATCAAACCCGCGGCTGCTGCAGACGCCCGCAGCTTCGGAACATTGGTTTAAAGTCGTTCGACTCAGTTTTTGCAGGAAGACGTTTAAATTCCACAGAGTTTGGAAGCTGAAGCTACAAAACCTGTCTAGTTTGATAATGACAGGAAACAGGGCGCGGTCAGGGCGGAGTCTCCGCGGTGGAATGTGGCCGATAGCAGGTCGACAGGTGAGGCGAGAGATGAGTGATCGGGCGAGAGAGAGAGGGGGGGGGGGACCAGTGAAACCAGATGTGAAATCAGGTCGACAGCTGATTAATCAAAGAAATCAAATATTCAGCTTCCTGTTTTCCACCGAGGAGAAAACAGGAAGCTGCTTTGAAAGGGCGGGGCTCAGACCTGTCAATCAGACTGAAGCAGTTTGGGATCAACACACAACAGCAACACAACAGGAAACAGTCGTAACCTCTGAGTTAACACCTGGAGGCTCCACGGTCGCTGGAAGATTTGAAATGTTGTGTTCGCTGTTTATCTCGTTGTGACGTGCACTGACGGCTCACAGGTCAGAGGTCAGAGGTCAGAGGTCAGAGGTCACGATGGTTAGAAACGGCTCCGTTTGTGTGTTTGTGAACAAGATTACACGAAAGCTCCAGATCCGACTGAGACTGAAGTTGGTAGGAGGAAGTGGTTCAGGTCCGAGAAGAACACATTCAGTTCTGGAGCTCGACGGAGCGATGTCCCACTTTGTGTTTGTGAGAAGAGTGTGTTCCATTTGTTTAATGTGAAGCACTTTCATCAGCTTCAGGAATATATTCATAAGGAACACGTCAATATATAAATATAAAATATACTTACGTCTCCAGCCAACTGCTTGAAAACTCTGCGGAACTGCTTCTCCTCTTCGCTCTCATGACTCTCAGCAAAGTTCAGAGGTCTGCGAGGAGGAGGCTGCACACACACACACACACACACACACACACACACACACACACACACACACACAAAGAGCTTCTGTTAGGTCGCACACTAACACACATTCATGAGTTTATTTGCTGAGTCTTGATTCTATCAAAGCCACAAATATGAATCAACCTTGTTACCATCATTTAAATTCATTTTGATTTCAGTGTCCGTCCATTAATAATAATAATAACTTTATTTACTTATGTAGACAAGGTCGTAAAGTGATTCACAAACAAAATGAATAAATAAAAAGTTTTTCATTCAGTTGAATTTAAAACCAAATCAGGTGGAGACCTCAAATTTAAAGAGAAACCAACAGAAAGAAAGAAACCTGGGTTTTTAGCTGTTGTTTTAATTTTGGGTTTTAGTTTTGATGCTCATTTTCCTGCTGATTGGGACCAAATATTATCTCTGTTGTGTTTTTAAGGAAGTTAAGTGACGTCTGTAATGAGCATTATGTGTGGAGATAAGAGTTTCACAGGAACGACAGGATATCCCATTAAAGAGGCCGATGACGTTTCCTAACGGCAGCATGAAGGGAAAATAACATGCGCACTATTTAATCTAGAAACCATTTCACTGTCATCAGCTGCTTCTTCAATTTCAACTCTGTGATAGAATCCATTCATTCAAGTTGATGCTCTGTGTTGAAGTTTCTGTGCTGATAATAATAATAATCATGCAACGTTTTAAAAGAAGTGACGTGTGAAGTACTCACCGGGTCTGCGGGGACGAACTTAGCAGGGTCGATGTTGCTGTTGGAAAAATGGAAAACGCATGAGACGACAATACGTTGCTCCAGGATGTGGTTAGCTTAGCTTAGCTTAGCTTAGCTTAGCAACTCACCTCACGATGTCTATGATGCCCCCGATTAGTTTTGATGCCAGAAACATTTTGTCGCCTGTGCGAGACAGAAAAACAGAAAACAGAGGAGGAATCATTTTGAACACTTTATTATGACCATTGTTCTTCTTATAAATATGTTTATCTTTAACTTTGGATCAT